GCATTTATTATATTTTTGCTCAATCGATCCGCTAGATTCAGCGAAGAACTCAGAGCGGGATACTGCTCTATATGAGCTTATTAGAGCATCCCATAACTTGTCAAGTTGCTGTAACTTCACATTTAAGAGCGTTTGGGTGTGTTCGCTTATCAGGGTGCTGGACCATTTCGAATAAAATGATTCAAGCCTGTTGCTTTCAAAAATGAAGTCTTGAAGGCTTGAGTCAGAATCGGAGGGGGATTTCTTGTCCATTGTGTGGGGCATAAAACTTTGAGCTTAGGTCAATTAACAAAAAAATTCTTCTGATATTACTATGAAAGCGAAATTCAAATAATGCCGAGCAGCTAAAAATGAGTCTTGAGCTGAATTTATTTGTATTTAAAGGTAATTTATTTGTCCTACCTTTCTGGGTATAGCGTAGTTTGTCCCAATGTAGCGCAATTATTTTTTGTTCCACTGTACTGTCTTAGCGCGTCCAAGTACAGTAACAGTGCTTTATTATGTACGACGCGAGAGCAAAACTAGGGGCGGAGCTTATATGTATATGTGTATGCACGTAGATGTTTGTATGTACTTCGGCAACTTTTTATATGTACGTATCTACGAGTGAGTAACCACAGAATTGAGTTTGAACTGCGACTAACGGCTGAGAAAAAAAAGGGGAATTGAGAAGAATAAACGCGTAAAAATCTGTATGTATGTAATAAAAACTGGCGCCAACTAGAGTAATATTAGTGTGGATCGCTTGTTGTTAGAAAACTCAAATAAAGGAAATTTTGGGTAACAGATGAAATCTCTATACGTATTTATGTATATTGAGACGAGAACTTTTATATTGTATTATATTCTCTTGTGCACCTATATAAATCTTTAATAAATGAGGGGTCTGTCTGAGATTTAATGTATATATGAGTGCATATACGTACCTATGAACTTTTTATTATTTTTCCTACCAGCCGCACCCTAGTGTCTACTTTGGGGTTTTTTTCTCTTTTTTAGGTATTACCTTAGCGCGTCTAAGTGCAATAGTGTATGGATGTGTGAGTATGTGTGCGCACTCGCTTGAGTTGCAATTTGAACGCACTCAGCAGGTGGTCGAAGTTCGAGAGAAACGAATATGCGGAAGTGCGAATATGTATACGTGTCTACAGAAGACTATGTATATCGTATGTAATTTTGGCCTGAGTATACGTATGTATGTGCGTGTATCAGCAAGCACTGGCGCGGAATTTTTCGCTGGTCAATTTGGTCTTTCGGCACAAGGGGAAGAAGGAGACAAGACGATACGCGCGATTCTTTTGATACCACTGATTTAAGGGGAGATCTGGTATTGCGTATATACGTACGCTATGATATTGTATCTATATATGTGCGTACGTATTATTATGGGATTGCCTTAGAGAAAATCATACACGGTAACAACGGGTTTTTGGACTATTTGTGCTTCCAATAACTTTTCAGCGTACGGGAAAATGGGATGTGAGTAACTATATGTAGATGTCTGTACGTGAGTTTGTACAATAGGTACAGTATACGTTAATATATATATGTATGTGTATGTATTATGTATATGACTTAGCGGTTATTTTTTGATTGCTTTTGAGTTGGAGGAGTCTATATACATATATATTTATAAATATGTCAATATGCGAGTGTGTATATTTGTATATACAGATTACCGTACCTAGACCGACGACACTTGTTACGGTGCTCGAAGGGGTTGGTATTTGCCTTTATTCGTATGGGGAATGCCGCCAAGTTATGCACATACATACATATGTACATATATATATATATATATATATATATATATATATATATCGTTGATGATGAGATATAGGGCACTTACTTGGATAGTGGTACTTTTCTTCTTTTTTTTTTGGGGGGGACTGTACCTTCAGCCGACTCCGGTTTACCTCGTTACACAGTGTGTGCTGCAATTGTTGTTGCTCCCTGTTCCGTTGTTGCCGGGTTAAGCTTTTGACCTCCCGTTACCTTTTCGTGTCCCTTTGTCACCTTGTCTGCCGTATTTTTTACCGGTTTTAGTTGTTACTGTTGTTTTGTATTTTTTCTTTTAAATTGCGGGTGTACAAATCCCTTAGTTTTTTTTTTTTTTTTTTTTTTAAACCAAATTCAATTTTAATAATTTTTTTTTTTTTTTTTTTTACGTTTTTGCGCACACTAATGTCAGCTTTGGCTGTGGCTGACAAAATAACTGTTTTTATTCCGCGATTTTACACACACACTACAGTGCCTGTATTCTTGTTTTTACTAAATTGCTTATTTTCGCTTTTTTTCCAGTCGTTTGAATTCAAAAGCGTATATGTACATACATATTTATGTTTGCAAATTTGATTTAATTTAATTTTTCAAATTAATGCCGCACACTTAGTTAAGTTTATCTTG